CAATAGATTTGATCACGTACCAACCAAGTTCATTTTCCAGAGAACTTTTTTAACATTGTTGTTTATTTCTAAAGTGATACGTTGTACAATTTATCAGAAGAGCGATTCAAATTCCTTGGGCCTTTTGTATAATAAACACTGTTTTTTTTTTAGATGCTGTTTCTAAAATATTATACAGTATATTTTAACAATCAAATAAACACTAGTTAAAGTATTCAAACTTACAGGAGAGAAATAATATTTTTCACTAAAATTGGCGTATTAAAATATTATTAGAATAATGCCTGGACATGGCTTTTTATGCCCCATTAATCGAAGATTCGTGGGTACATAGTTTTTGCCCTGTCCGTTCATCCGTCTATCTAGCTGTCTGTCTGTTAATCTGTTTTTGTCTGTTTATCTGCAAAAACTTTAACCTTGCCAATAACGTTTGATTGGTTGAGGCTATGGATTTCATATTTCACAGGTGTAAATTTGGCCTTTTGATCTTGACCATGGGTCCCACCTAGTATTGCAAAATTTTAACCAACTTTAACCATGGCCATAACTTTTGAACAGTTGGGCTAGGGTTTTCGTACTTCACGCATGTAATTCTTGTAACAAGACCTTCCTTTAGATACCAACAACTTTGATGCTTTGACCTTGGAGTTTGACCTACTTTCATAAAACTTTAACCTTGGCCATAACTTTTGAACTGTTAGGGCTACGGCTTTCGTATTCTACATATGTAATCCCTGTGACAAGACCTTCTTTTAGATACCGACAACTTTAAACCTTTGATCTTGGAGTTTGACCTACTTTTAAAAAACTTTAACCTTGGCCATAGCTTTTGTAAATCTTTTTTTTTTTTAAATGGCTTCTTGACCTGAAGGAAAACAAATTATTAAAGTTTACGAATTTATTCTGAAGAAACCGCAACTCTAAACAAGTAGCAATAAAAAAAAGCAAATTTAACAATACAGCCCGAAAAGCAAAATCACTATTAATAGCATTTAACTTTTTGATATTTTCTCATATTAAGGTTCAGTTGCGTTAACTCTGAGTATAAATTAAAATAAGTTTACCAATATAATTGATACATGTATAACATAATTATAAATATTAATATAGATATATAAATGATTAAACATACGTACGTCGAAGGAAAACAAGTTGAAAGTTTTTTAAAATATTCTGAAGAAACCACAACTGAGGTTGTAGGAGCATGTACTGCCATCATATTCCCAGAAGTGGTTTCTTTAAAAAATCTATAACTTGTCGACCTTCTTGGCACCCATGTGACATGACCGCATGTGGTCAGTGTGTGGTCAGTGTCTCATAATTCTAATCAAAATTAACTTTTGCCAAATTTAGAATTCCACACTTTATAAATTCAATTTTTCTTGCAATCTCAAATGTATTCCAAAGTCAAATTGACCAAATTTAACATTGTTATCTTTGAGCAACACTGACCACATATGTGAAATATCATATCAGTCGATATTGAATTTTTTTTTGCTCAAGTGCCTTGTTCGGATACATAATTGATCAATACAAAGTAATGAAAATCTGACTTTGCACTGAACAGAACAGAAAAGTCACACAATTAATATTGATACTAAATATAATGAAAGTACTACAAAAAATTGAAAAATAAAAAAAAAAAATCTATATGAAAAGGAACTCCATTTTCAGAAATAGAACCAAGCATAAATGGAGCAAGAAGTGCATGTGACACAACGCTCACCTGAATATCTACAGATCTGCTCTTCATCAACAGCAGATGTTTTCCCTATGTGAAACTGATCATATATTGTGGCCCCACCCTACCCCAGGGGTCATAATTTGAACAAATGGGATTCTACTCAACCTCAGGTCGTCTCCATATAAATATGAACTAATATTCACTTTGCTGTTATTTAAAAGAATATTTTAAAGACGGTTCCCTATGTATGACTTGTTACTACTTTGATCACCCATTGTGGTCACACTCTACCCCCAGGGGTGATGATGTGAACAAATTTGATTCTACACTACCTAAGGATGCTTTCATATAAGTATGATTATCAAGTCTACGATGTTCTTGAGAAGACTTTTAAAGATTTTTCCGATATATTTTTATATGAAAATTTTATCGCCCATTATGGCGCCACCCTACCCCCAGGGGTCATGATTTGAACACACTTGAATCTACACTACCTGAGGATGATTCCGTATAAAAATGACTTGAGAAGATTTTTTAAAGCACTTTTCTAAATATTCCTATGCAAGGCTTTGGTCGATCATTGTGATCCCATTCTACTCCCGGGGGTCATGATTGATCTATTATATATAATGAAGCTTTTGTATAAGTTTCATCTTATCTGGTTCAGTAGTTGTTAAAAAGAAGATTTCTAAAAGATTAATTTTAAATTTTCACTTATTCTTAATTATTTCCCCTTATAAGAGGGCGTAGCCCTTCATTTTTAATAAAATTAAATCCCCTTTGATCAAGAATGCTTTGTAACAAGTTTAGTTGAAATTGGTCCTGTGGTTCTTGAGAAGAACTCAAAAAGTCACAAATGTGAAAAGTTTACAGACAGACGGACGACAGACAAAATTTGATCAGAACAGCTGATTTGAGCTTCAGCTCAGGTGAGCTAAAACACCGAATTTCGTGGTCGTTCACCAGTACTCAACGTCACATATTTATTAAAATAGTATAGCTAAAATAGATTTATTTTCATGGAATTTTGGTTTACCAATTAGCTCTCTTAAGAGATAATAATTTTCCCCTTAAAGGAATATAATATTATACACCAATCAATGAATATCATATCACCAAGGGCATGGTGATTTACAGACCACATCACTTCTACAAAAACACGATAAGAATTACAAGTACTTTGATGTGAATGGACAAGGAAGTATGATAAGATAACAATATAGGTTGTGGATATATTTATATATTTTAAGACTATTAGTAAGTTGTGCTGATAATTTTTTCCAGTAAAATGTGCATATATGTACCGTTTGTATATAGTAATATACTTGCTTAAATGTAACAAGAAGATGTCTCTTAATGAATATGAAAATATTCAGTTATATGAAATAAAAGTGGTGCATTCTAAGTTTTAATATATACTATTATACCTGATAAAAAATTGTGCTTTAATTAATACATTTCAGTTGATTCTCAAGTTCTAAATAGTCTTTTGTATAAAATGCTAGACCTACACATAAGGTGTGGAAATCTTATTTTTACAAAAAATGTGCTGACAAATTTTTAAATAAATTTTGCATATTTTTATGAAATGAAAAAAGAGCATTTGAAGTACAATATATTGTACAATACAACAGAGTTTAAGTACATTGTATTAAAATAAAGATGGTAATGTGTAAAGAAAAAAGTCAATGAATGAAATTTATATTTTGCAGGTTTTTTTTTTTTTTCAAAAATAAGGGGGGGGGGGGTGTCCCAAGATATCTATTTCTGGTCCCAAACTAACTGCAGGATTTTGAGCAAATTATTTATTCCTGCTATAAGCCTGAAATTAACTCAGTAGAAACTATATGATATATATTATCATCAGCGGTAAAAAGATAGATTTCCTGCGCTTGCTTGGGATTTCATCTAGTGGGCTAATAAATTATTTTAATATGAGATATTTGGTTATACACACATTATTTTATACATTCACAAAAAATACCAACTTACAGGCACATAGTATCTTGGAGGAGGGGGAGGGGGGTCGAATTAAAAAATAAGATACTGTTTATTTCGTAAGGAAATTTCCATCTAAACGCTTGTTGTCCCTACCTTATTTGTTGCAGTATAGAAAATAAAGTAAAACCTTTCCATTATAAAGTATTCAACTGATTTTTTTTAATCGAAGAAAGAGTTTGAACCCTTGACTCCTACCCCTTTTCGAGTTTGAAAGTAGTATTGTATTGTGTTGGAGAACAATGGAGAGAACAATAGGAAGTTGCGCGCGAGCAATCTCAGCATTTCTTTTTATTACTAAGTCTTAGAGTACTTGTTGCCCTTCTCTTGCTCCCCCCCCCCCCACTTTGACGGTTAAAAACCCGTGCTTATTCATTCGTGTAAGTGCTAATGTACTCCATCTCATCATCATTTAGATACTTATGCTCATTCACAGTAACCCTAACTAGGTCAGGGTCACCGCATTGTCTTCCCTATTGTTCTCTCCATTGTTCTCCAACACAATAGACCCCCATTATTAAGGGGGGGGGGGTGAACGTCAGCCTATGCTACTTTTGAAGATTTTGTACTTTTTTCTTTCTTTTTGCTTTTTATCTTGGTTTATTATTTTTTAAATGATAAAATGTTAAATAATTTCTCTCCCCCCCCCTTCACGTTGGAAATGTAAAAAAAAAAGGTGAAACGATGCTACATGCCTGGACATATACCCCTGGGTATATACAATTTTTATATTAGCAAGCCTTTCGATTAGAAACAAAAATCATCATTAGTAAACGTATACATATTTACATAGTTACCAATAAAAGACTGAAAGCCTTTTCCCCCCTTTTATTACATTGTAAAACCTTGACTTCCGCCTAAACTCATGATTTGGAGAAAAAAAAACTTGCACTACGGTAAATAAAGAAGCTTTCACGTTATTTATTCAATACAAAACTCTTGTAAATTCATTTTTTACGATTCGAACTCTTGCCATCATGAGTAAACTCTCGACGAAGACATTCTACCCCTCTTCCATAGACCAGATATTAAAGACGTCATTTTTCATTATCATGTATAGATTATGTAAAAGTGAAAAACAAAATAAAATACACTAAAGCTTAATTAATTTGATGTTCAATGGATTTTTCCTTCTGTCCATATCAGACTATTTCTTTTTCTTTTTTTTAAATCAATAATTGGCATATTTTAATGTCTTATTTACATGTTCATAGTTTATATCACATGTATCAGGAAAGCAAGATTTGTTTCGCCTGGGTTTTAAAATAAAGTCGTATTATTTTTTTCAATACGGTGGTTTTCTTCATTTTTATTTGAATTAAAAAGTCTTGAGTGTCACACTCAGTGCTTCAAGCACAGGTATAATTGAAGTGGCATATGTTAAATTCCCATCCCCACCAACAATCATACCGATGCACTTCAAATCATCGATGTCCTTAAACTGAAACACTAGAGACCCGGGGTCTCCTGATTCAGAGAAAGGTTTGCCATATATCCCGCGTATTGCAAGTTGTGACATATACATGGTTGTCACGCGGGCACCTGTGAGCAAGATATTTCGGAATCTGGCAGAGGTTTGGCCTATTTCCAGTTCTCCAAGAGTCAATCCAGACTTCATGCCGCATTTCAAAGTTTGTTCGTTTGGATGATCCTGTGCCTCTCTCCCAGAGCATATTCTACCAAAACAAACCTGTGGAAAATCCTATAATTATATACAAATTTATGCGATAAAGAGGTTTGAATAGAAATAGAAGATAATTATATTATCTCTAAGTCTCATAATTTTTCTTTGGGTAGAGAAATGTTTAAGATATATATATATATATATATATATATATATATATATATATATATATATATATATATATATATATATATATATATATATATATATATATATGTATGTATGTATGTGTGTGTGTGTGTGTGTGTGTGTGTGTGTGTGTGTGTGTATAGATATATATATATATATATATTATATATAGGTAAAGTTTACATTGCCAATTATTGAATTCTATCATGAATAATTTAAATTAATCCGTGGTTAAATGCCATTATTTTTTCCCCTTTTAAAATAATGCAGAAGTGAGAATTTATCAAAATATAATCGATCTTCAATGATTGTTATTTCAAAATTGATTTTCAAAAGAACAGTCGATCAGATTAGACATGACATCCGACCAGATTTATACACATTGGGAAGCGGGGTAAAATAAACACTGTACAGTATATCCTCTGTTTAGACAATAAACCTTAATTAGGTGTCCCCACCCGTCCCCGGTCAGCTAACAGGAAACTAAACACAACGTACAATATTAGATTTTGATGATAAATTATTTTTACAAAACTTAAAGTTGCATAATGAGTCAAAACCATGTGTTTCTTTTAAGAAAATTGTATCACAAAACAGAAGATTTCTGTGAAATATGAATGTTTAAAAGAACTATAATCTGTTTTTCCTTCCTTCTCTTTCGAGGATATATTCCTTTTTTAAAATAACAAAATTGTGTTATATCTGCTAAATTTCAATCTTTTCATGCTTATAAAACTGCGAATAACAGAGCGAAGAAATCAATACATAAATCAAAAAAGTTGTTTTACACCGAACTCTACGAAAGGGCATATGAACGTAATATAAAAGTTTTTTTTTTTTCTTTTTTTTTCTTTTTTTTTTTTTTTTTTTTTTTATACATATATACATATAATTATCTATATTACTGATTATAAGATATAAGTATAAACAATAAAAGATACACGCTCCAGTCCATACAAATTTTGTTAAATCAAAGGTGTTATATTTCCTTCAAATTTCAACAGCCCCGATAGCCTAGTGGTTAACGCGTTCGCCCCCAGAAACCAGAGGTCGTTGGATCGAATCCTTGCTTAGACCTTTTTTCATTTGATTTTTCAATGTTTTAAAAACTTTTCTTTCTTTTACATTATTTTTTCCAAATTAATAAAAGTATAAATCCGAGATTTATAATTTGTGAGAGTAAATCATTATAAACATAATATTTTAGCTATAAGATATTTTATCGACTGCGTAATGCTGACTCAAAAGTGGTTTAATGGTAGCTTAATGGAGTTTGGACATTAAGCACCTATAAGTTTGGCTTAATTGTTGCTAAATGGTGACTTCGCAGCACAGTTAAGGTGTCAAATGGAAATCGGCGAATTTTTTTAGATATAAAATACATTCTTTACAAGGATGGGCATTTCTTTGTAGGACTTTACTATTATCGGACAAATGCAATGTGGTTGAAAACTAAATGTTGAGGACGATTAGATTTCTTATTAAGACTTGTCACGTGATTTTAGCAAATATACCTGAAGTATTGAGGTCATCTATAAATTCTAATATTGCAAGGGCATAACAAAGTTAAAAATCTAAGTTTAACATATAATTATTTTCAACACTGTTTGTAATTTGTGAAAAGTGCTGCGAACCTATATAGATTCTACTATCTAATTGCTAAAATTACATTTGTTAGACCGTATGTTGAATATTTTGCTGGTCAAATACATTTAATATAGATATAATTAATTCATTTGCAAGATTTCAACAGGTTCGCAGCACTTTTCAAATATCTTCACACTTCTTGAGTTTATGTGTAAAAGCTTGCCATAATTCATTGAGGGTATGCCCTTGCAATATATCGATTTATTACGACCCTTCTTTTACCCTTCAATGAATCTGCATACAAATATACGACAGTATTGCTTGTCTAGGGAATGTACGGGAAGTATATGAATAAAATCATAAAACCGACATCGCATCCAAGTTAATGGCCTCTTATATATCTACAATTTATATTTTATTTAATTACAAAATACATTTTTCATTGTATAAATATAACTTGATCCGCCTCTCACTGCATACAAACTGCGTCAAATTTTCCGATATGACGTCACATTGACAAGTGCATTGCGATCAGTGAATTGTTTATATATTGATGTGTGGGATTTAACCAACGACAATAATGCATGCACTAGTTAGTATTGATGTAGTTTAAAGCTATTCATAAGTTTAAAATAGCAAATCATTTCATTTTGTGGTAATTTGAAGAACTTAGATTTTTGTGTGATGTCATAATAAGCATTTCCCGTATAAATTAGGCCCCGCCTCCTTACTGCAGCCTTAACTGTGCTGCGTTAAAGATTGTCTAGAAGCTACCATTAAGTACCTATAAGCCACCATTAAGCTACCTTTAAGCACCCATTAAGTACTTTGAAATGGCTTATTGGTAACTTCATGGTGGTGTATTTATTACTTAAAGATAGCTTATTGGTGCTTAATGGTGACTTAAAGACAACCATTAAGTCATCATTAAGGACCTAAAAGCCACCATTAAGCTAATTCAAGTTTAAAGGAAGTGTTTCTTCGTGTGATGGGTCATATCGCTCACTTGAGCACATTAGGTAGGAAAAAGCACATATCAGTTCAGTATTGAAAAGTTTACATTGGGGAGAGGAAGGACTTGAATTTTAAACTATCTGAGGATGTTTCCATATCAATATAACAAATGGCTTTGGTGTTCTTGAGCAGAAGATTTTTAAAGATTTTTCCCTATCTATTCCTATGTAAAACTTTGATATGCTATTGTGGCCCCTCCCTACCCCCAGGGGTCATCATTTGAACAAACTCGAATCTGTACTACCTGAGAATGCATCCATATCAAAATGACTAAACAAGGCTTTGCTGTTCTTGAGAAAAAGATTTTTTAAATATTTTTCCTATATATTCCTATGTAAAGCTTCCCCCATTGTGGTCCCACCCTACCCCATCATTCGAACAAACTTGAATCTACATACCTGGAATGCTTCAATATCAATACTACTTAACAAGGTTTTGTTGTTCTTGAGAAGATTTTTAAAGATTTTTTCCTATATTTTCCTATGTAAAAATTTGATCCCCCATTGTGGCCCCACCCTACCCCCAGCGGTCATCCTTTGAACAAACTTGAATCTACACTATGTAAAGATGGTTTCCTAAAAGTTTTTACTTTTTTGGCCAAGTGGTTCTTGAGAAGATTTTTAAAACATGCCACCATATTTTCACTATTTCTGAATTATCTTCCCTTTGAACAAATTTGAATCCCCTTTACCCAAGGATACATTGTGGCAAGTTTAGTTGAAATTGGCGCAATGGTTCTGGGAAAGAAAGTCGAAAATGTGAAAAGTTTACAGACGAACAGACAGCCAGACGGACAGACGGACTTCAGACAAAATGTGAGCTTTCAGCTCAGGTGAGCTTAAAAGTGTAAATCAGTAAATTGTTGATCACTTCTACTCTAGGTATATCGATAAACCCAGCAAAACCTGCTACTCCACAGATTTATTTCTTAACACAGTAATCTTTTCTCGGAATAGAGAACTGTATGATTATTTAAAATGTCAATTCACATCTTGTAATTATTAATCTACTTGCACAAAAAAATGATTTTGAAAGAGAGAAAGAAAAATACCAAGTAATTTTAATCTCGCCGTCTTCAATTCTGCAAACAGAGCTCTGTTTGGAATCCGTTCAGTTAATTCGACAACTGTTGCATCGACACTGACTCCGTCTACGATGGTAGAGGAAGGAAAAGCTGACCTTAATATCTTTCCACATTGTTGTGAACCCTCTTGGGAGATAGATGGTTGAAAAGTAGGAAATGGAAAATTAGAAGGACGTGTATGCATTTCGTCTTCAGTAAAAAGAACATGGGCACAGGTTATAAATCCAACACCGCCATCGTTCAACTCAACGAATCCACCAAGAGTTCCTTCTCCTGCTCTCTCTGTGTTATAAGCGTTATATATTCAAAAGTCTTGAAGGAAACTTATTCTGAGCATGATGTGTTAAGGATTTAAATACCTCTCTGAAACTTTTCTCCTGATCAAGTAAATTAAAAATAAGCTAGGTACTCAGAACTTGTAATAAGGATGCTTTTGAACAAATATCTATAATAAGTGAAAGAGAACAATTTATTTGATGTGTGCACTTAAAACGTCAGTTGACGCCACAAATTATTATAATTTTAGCTACCTAGAAAACCTCAGAGTCGGGCGGAGGTCAGCAATAAGAAATTAGAAATAAGAAAAAATACTAGTATACAGTTCTAAATATTGGTATATAATTATTTCATCTAAAAATCCTACCTCATATACAACTTTCACTTTTCCTCTTATCAAATTAATTTTGGAAACCCAAAAGAGAGGAGAAAAAAAAAACTGTTCTTACCATTATCTCGTGATATGCTTGCACCCATTCGTAAGGGATCAAGCAGATCTTTGGAGTTTGCATAAATATCGTAGTTGACATGCAAATGAAAGAACCCTTCTCGTATATCCGTAGGGAATCCATCCATTTCTGCTGGAAATTCTTTTTCACCGACAGGTACAACACCTTTGTAAGAACAATATATGGCTATGCAGGGTTCAGAAATAGTCTCTTCTTTCTTTGCTTTGTTCGTTTTCAGTCGGAATAGTGATGCACGAATCATTTCCAGGTTTGAGTGTTCCTCAAACATTTCGTTTTCTTTCTCTTTCAGGTATTTAGCTATTTCCTTTATCTTACCATAATCATGCTTTCGATCTTTCTTCGTTTCTTCCAAGACTGAAATTTCTCCCCAACGTTTATAAACGACAGTCAAGTTTTCCCCATCATATTGGTATTTCTCATTTTCAATTGCTTCCTTCCTCTCAATAACAGAAACAATGACTATTTCCCCCTTTACTAATTTTTCTCTACTTGTGCAGACCTCTCCTAAATATAGGTGTCTTATATTTATTGATCCATGCTTCTGGTGAAACCAAGTTTCAAATTTTTTCAAAATGTCGTCTTTTTTCGAGGCAATATCTGAATAAAAGTAAATGAATTCAAATATTTGAAAATCAATACAATTTTTTTTTTCAAATAACAACTCTTGCAGCCACTAAAAAGACATATTATCTTTGATAGGTGATCTTAAGAATGTCTGCATATCATCACTTAATTAATTAAATATGGTATTAGCATACCCTCTTTCGTCTTGGACGGTTCAAATGGTTGCTCGTATAATTTTTCCCCTTTCACCCCAACTGACTTCCTCAATTCAGCCATTCTTATTCTTTATGAAAATGAATATTCTTTTAGTATGAAGAGAATGTCGTTAAAACTGAAATAACTAAATAAATATATATATATACATACATACATACATACATACATACATACATACATACACATATATATATATATATATATATATATATATATATATATATATATATATATATATATATATATATATATATATATATATATATATATATATATATATATATGAAATAGTCTCTATTTTGAGGTTTACCGAAACAGAAGATAAATTTGATACAGGTCATGAATTTTATAGCATATATTTTTTCATTAAAATTTTGGGTGTATTTTTGTTTTCCCAGGTTTTGTAAAGGGTTCTAAAAGACGTTCTTAAAAATATCATTGAAAGCACCTTACTTTGTAAACGATAGGAAAACACTGTTGGTTATGATCGCAATTTCATGCTTATGTACAATAATGTTTTGTAGTTTTGATCTCTATAACAAAGTTTAAAAAAAAAAAAAAAAAAAAAAGAAAAAAAAAAAAGAAAAGAAAAGAAAAAAAAAGATTTATGTTATTCATATGACTGTTTTCATAAAAACTCCCGGTACATTTTGGGTTTAGAATAATCGTACTATTGTTCATATGTTTATGACATGTAGCTTTCATTGAGGATGATTTGTTCATTTGTGTGTTTGTTTAACGTCACATGATAAATTTTCAATCACATTGGGAACCCAGCACTTGATGGTGGAGGGCTGCAAATTTAAGACTACACTCGGCATATGACCTTTGAGCAGTGAGAGATCTTTTTCGTTGCAGAACCTACTGCGACACGGGATCTGAAGGCGTGGTCTCCGCAACACACAGTTGATTCAAACCAACATCGTAGGGATCAACTCCTTACTGTGCGGCTGTAGAGCTAACGCTCACACCACTGCACCACTCGGGCGACTTCATTAAAGGTCATACGAAGCGATAGAATTTTGCTTTTTAGACATAAAGATTGGTATGAAAGAATGTCAAGGACCCATTGATGTAAATAAGGCATTAGATCTAGTATAATTTTAACGTATTTCATTGAGTTAATTTTTGCCATTTTTCTGGATCTAAATGTGATTATGTTAACAGATGAGTTATCCGATTCTATAGTGTAGTCAACTCTGTTTGAACTAGTCGTTAATTAGGCACAGCAATTGAAAACGTATGCGGCGCCGTTTTGGTATTTATTGCCATTTAGTGATATCAACTATTCGAATAGGTTATATCACCTATTGGAAATGAATAGTTGATATCATGTTTTGATGCTGAAAAGGTGATATCAACTATTCGAATAAGTGATATCACTTATTCGAATTGGTGATATCACCTATTCAATTTGAATTAGTAATATCACCAATTCGTATAGGTGATATCACATATTTGCATTTCTCACAACAATAATGAATGCTACCTTCCTCAAAACTATCTAGATTTCCATTTGAACCAAGCAAATTCGGGCTACCTAGTTTTCCCCTGTAGTTTAGTCCGAGACATTTTAAATACCTTATGTTATCAATCTCTGTAAAGTTAAATAATTTTTATAAATTATACCCATCAGGGATACAAAAGACTGGCATATCTTTCTCTCTTTATAATGTAAAGTGGGGCATTTTCTCTATCGAACAGTTAAGTGTTTCTCACGAATTTTCCTACAGTATACATGATAGATAAGTGTAATAAAAATGATTTGTTCTACTGGGGTGCTTAAAACTAAATGCGAAGCTGTAATTCATTTTCTCCAAGAAAGCTAAGCTATAAAACGAAAGTGAAAGTAGATGAGATTTAAGACCCTATAGTCTTGGGAGCAGTTGTTATTTCATAAATAATTTGAATAGGTGATATCACCTATTCGAATAAGTGATATCACCTATTCAAAATGATTAGGTGATATCACCTATTCGAATAGCTGAATCGCTTATTCGAATAGGTGATATCACCTATTTAATTTGAATAGGTTATATCACCTATTTGATTTGAATAGATGATATCATCTATTTAATTTGAATAGGTGATAACACCTATTTAATTTGAATAGGTGATATCACCTATTTGAATAAGTGATATAAGTATTCAAAAGGAATAGGTGATATCACGTATTTGAATAGGTGATATCACTTATTTGAATGGGTGATATCACTTACTGTATACACGATTATTTTCGCCCTGTGTTATTTTAGCCCTTTTACACTTGAAATCAATTTTGCCCCGTTTTAAATTCGCACAGTCACGGTTCTGTTTAAGAAATTTAACCGCGTTCTTTGAATTTGCTCCGGTTTTAATTCGCCCAACTGAAAGTAGGGCGAAAGGGGCGTAGATAAAATGGAGGCGAAAATTTCCCTGTATACAGTATTCAGAAGCTGAAAAGGTGATATCACTTATTCGAATAGGTGATATCATCAATTGAATAGATGATATTACTTTTTGGCAGTAAATAACAAAACGGCGTCCATAAAAACGGGAGCTTCTCCTCGTAGGATGATCCTGAATACCCCATGGAAATCAGGATTTTCCCCCTTTTATTATGACTACTTATTTTAAATAAATACTATAGAAACAAAAATAATCTTATTCTGTTTCATACATATATGATACGTGCCAAAAGGATTTCAGAGTTTTTGATTGCTTATTTCGATTATGTACTTGATATCGTTTCTAATTAACCCGCATTATCATCATATGCGTATGCTTGTCTTAGTTGTTGATTTAAAAGAAAAATCTCTACAAGTGTTTGAAAGTAAAGAGATTATTTCAAGAACTATCATGAAAAAGAGGAAAATAATAGAGAGAGAGAGGGGGGGGGGGTCTGTACACAAGTAAGTGAATATAGATGCTGTCAAATAATTTACATTTGAAAAATTGTCTAACACAAGACTATTGGTGATTTCTTTTCTGATTAAATTTTTAAGCCATGATGCTACAAATGTACTAGGCCTATAGCACGTGGTGCATAGGTAAAGCTGAATTTGATTGTTCCAGTGTTTGAAAGTGATATAAGTTTAAGTAAAAATGATTTCATAAAAAAAAATAATGTATTTATGGGAAATGAATTGAATCTATCGCTTTCTCGCTCTTTCCCTTTCTCTCTGTCCCTCGTTTTCTTTCTTTCTCTCTCTTCTCCTCTCTCTCTCTTTCGGTCGAAGGACGACAAATGATCCAATTTGGAAATTACACAGATAAAAACTACTTAAATCTTGCAAATATACAATGGCATTCTTAAAATCAAATACTAGCTTGTTTTAACATGTACATGTAAGTACACTGTGGAACATTTAACAGCGACTGGGTCTTACTGACGTCATAAGCAAGGAGAAGTAAGCCACGTTAGCTGAAGTTCATTTTCGTTATCAAGTAATTTTGATGACTCTCCTGCCGCTACCTTGCATAAAAAATCCAAAGTATAATTTCAGTCTTATTAAAGTAGATCAGATAAACTCAGTTTCGTAAACAGTTCAAATACACAGGACATTGTTTCATATGACCTTTAAGGATGAACAAGAGAGGTATAAAGCCACAAAAATTTCATGACTACAGAATTCATATAAAGTGCTTTGTTTTGAGAAGCCATAGGCGATTCTAAGATGTAGGGAAATATGTCAGACTTCCAATACCAGTTGATAACACAATTATCAAATGCTTTGCTTTTTCGAGGACCAAAACTATTTGTATGTTGATATGATACATACAAGAAGCCCGTGGGCTCCAACGCTCACATGAGTTACTACTATTTTCAGCTACATTGTTCATATCTGTGAGGCACCGTGTTGCAAGTGACATTGTGATGTCATTAAAGTTTAATAAATAGCAAAAATATTTATACTGAATGATGATGTGTAAATAAAAAGTTACAAGCATTTGCTTTATCCATTATTTATTACAGGATGCAAAATCTCACCGTTTGATAACAATACTGCGGAGTAGTACGAAACAAAAATTGTGTCATATATGACGTCCATCGTTTTGACGCAGTCAAATGATACAGAGGAATGATTTTATTGGTTTAATAAATGAAAAATGCTTAATTAAATACAAAATCATCGTCAGTCTGTAAATCTAAAAATCAAAACTGAAACTTACCTTTAAAAAAATGTAATGCTTGTATAAGTTCAATCAAAAGTACACAGGTACGATATACTATTATAATTTCGTGAAGCAGTTATTGATTTCTAGAAACGAAGTATTAAAAGTTACAATATGTGGATTACCCCTCTCCGTAAACGATAGCGCTATATCTGATATGGTCAAAAACCTTGATGTTAATATATGAAGTGAAATAAAATTTGAAAAAAAAATAAACACCCTGTTAGCGTCTGTATGTCATGTAGAACGGAAATAAATGTTTCTATTTTGACCCGCTTCCCGATGGAAAATTTTCCAAGAAAATAGGTCATATAATAGCAGACACACAGGGATGGAACAACGACGCAGTACAGTTAAGGTGCGCAATGGAAATACCGACAAATTTTTGTGATTAAAAATGTATTCATAATCAGGATGGCGATTATTTTTAGTACTTTATTTATATCGGACAAATGTAATTATGGTTAATAACAACATATTGAGGACGATTAGATTTTATATTAAGACTTGTCACGTGATGCGGCAGTCACGTGATTTTAGCACATTTACTTGCAGTATTGAGGTCACCTATAAATTTCACTAGTGCGAGGGCATAACCAAATCAAAATTATAAATTTAGTTTATGAATACTTTCTACATGCATTGTAGTTTCTGAAATGTGCCGCAATCCTATATAGATTCTGCTATTTATTGTAAAAATCGTATTTGTATGACCGCATGTTGTATTTTTTGCTGGTCAATGACATTAAATATAGATATAATTGAATTATTGTCAAGATTTCAACAGGTTCGCAGCACTTTTCAGATACATTAATACTTGTAGAGTTTATATGTAAAAGCTTACTATGATCCATTGAGTGTATGCCCTTGTACTAGATCGATTTATTAAGACCCTTACATTACTC